CGAGCACTGGGTAATCGAAGAAATGGAGAGGCGAATCGAGCGTGAAAAACATCGGGAGAAACGAAGAAGAATTGAGTTTCAGTAGATTAAAACTATCAGGAACTTCCGAAAGAAGGGGCCCGCGTTGAATGGATACTTCCAAAGGTTAAATAGCCGGGGAAAACACGTATTGGGAAAAACCTTCTGCTCGTGGGAGTATAGCTTCAAAGCGACTTTACTGTCCTTTGAAGTAAAAATAAGGTCTTTTGTATTCGTCTTTGATTCTTATTTTGATAACTTTATGAGAAAACGATAGTATGCATGTATAAAAACGTTAGAAGAAAAATCCCTTTATGATTTTCAAGGTATGATGAAACAGCTGACGATTCAAGTGTAAGTTTATTAAAATATAATTCGTATACCTACGAAATTTTCCTTATTAGGTACAAAAAAAAAAAAAAATTTTACGGAAGATTTTATAATTTTTTTTTCTCTCAATTGATTTGACGCTTTTTATAGGACAAATTAACTTGCTCGTACCTAAATACAATTACATTTGGTGTGGTATTTTATTAACAACAATAATTATAATATAATTAACAACATGGGGTACGTAAGCTGATTAATAAATTATCTACAAAATTTATATCACGTTCATGACTGATTAATCGCGTCAAAAAACGTCTTGCCGCATAATGCCGAGATGGAACGAGAAAATTAAAGCCGGAAAAAAGAAGCAACAACGGTAGAATGAAAAGAATAGGTGCAGCTCGACGTGAGAAATAAAAAGCTGCTGAAGCTTAATGAATTTTCTGGAGGAGAGTTTTTTTTTTTCCTACAAAACAACCATTGAAGGAGAAAATACAAATTTCTTACATCCAATTTTACTTTTCAAGAGTTTTGAAAGGAGTTTTTTACTTCGAAAGGAGTTTTAAGAATGGGCTACGGATAGTTAAGTAAGAAAAGAAAAAACGCAGAGTAAAGTATAGTATATTTAAAAAAGTTACAAGATATTGGAGTTTTAGTGTCAAAACTAATTTGGTCCAAGCCTATAAGCTTCTTCTCGGGTTCTTTATCATACAGGAAAACTGTGTTTGAATTCACTTACTTTTCTCTATTTGCAAAAAAGCCAAAGAGAACTGCATTAGCCCTATTTTAGCTTTCTCGCATGCAATGACTTAAGTTAGTAATTCGAAGTCATAAATACTGATAAGTTTTCGTTTTTTCTAAACTATTGATGTTTTTTAAACAATAAGTGTTTGTGTAGTAAACGTATGTTTGTAGCTGAATTTTTCAATTTTATAACCAAGCACGTCCTATTTTAACTTTGGTCTAACATATTTCGTGGAGCAGAAGGAAAAAGGAAAAACAAGGAAAGAAATTGAACACGTTTCGTCCTCGATCGTTCACGAAACTCTTCAGTAAGGCTACATCAACTTCTCAAACTTTGATGCATTCAGATTCTATATATCAATACATTTCGTAGACAGGCCTTGACAACTTTTTGGTGCGGGCTACAATGATATTTTTAAACGAAATTAAGATCCTTGAATATTTAAATTACAATCAGTTCTTTATTGGTTTTAAAATTCTGTGCATGTTTTACTCTCAGCACTTTTTTGTACAAGTGAATAAATTTGAATTTTCGTTGTGAAAGCAAAAAAAAATGTATTTTTTTTATTTTTGAAATTTTTTTGCAATGCTCAATCGGTTAAACTTTACCGTGAATTCGTGTTCATAAAATCTGACTCAACAAATTTCGGACTCGGCAGCCAAATTGGCACTGAAAATAACGTGGTTTTTCTCGGTTTACCCAAACTGCAAGGAATAAATTTAATGTAGTATTGACATCGGCACGGTAATTACCTACTTTTTCAAATGCCACAGGAGTCGAGAGTGAATCGTTAGCCCGCATAGTTGATCGTTTCATTCGCAGTAATTATCCTGTATGGAAAGTTTGAACTAAATTTCCAGTAAACACGTTGACTCCGATGGCACCTTGTCCCAAACACTTTAAATAAATTAAACTATATGTTTATGGATCAACATTGGCTTTTTCCAATTACTTGAGTATGAAAAATCTATAAAAAAAAATGGATATCAGACGGAAAGTAAATTAGTTTCTACTGCAAACGAACGAGCACCGGATTTCGATTTATATATATATTTCTCTGCTGGAGGGACAGCTGCTCTTGCAGACACTTCTGGGCGGAAAGGGAGATGAAAAAAGAAAAACCAGCTGTCAGCACTGATGAAATGAACACTTTAAGACCACTGCCGAAAGAGAGAAGCAACCACCTGCATTTTGCTTCGTCGGCCACGAATTGAGAGAGCTCTTACCTTTTTTTCGATAAGTACCGATTTTATCGATTACCAGCGCGTACTGGCCTTTTCGAAAAGCGTCACCGCGGCTACAAAACATATTTTTGTTTGCATAAAAATACACCCTGTTTTGAAAACGCTAGACCCCGCCAGACGTGGGCAACGCTTTGTTGTTTGTACGACCCTGGGCCGTCGCGGCGACTTTGGCGGACCGGTCACTTATGTTGTATAGGCGCGGAGGTAAGTACATTTTGAACAGTACAAACACACCTGCCAAATCGAGAACGATGATTACTCAATGTACATACATGGGGGCTCAGCAAACGCCAGTTTCCTTGACATCCTTAACTTTGCTCGCATACGTGCGTGCAGAGCCGAGTGGAACGTTGTGTTTTTTCTCGTCTGATGGTTACGCTACGGGAAATCCGAGGGTATACCTCTTTTACGTGTATCGTCGTATATATAGTCTTAAAAATTGCAAGAGCTTCTCTCGTTCTTTCAGGCATTGGATCTACCTGCCACTTACAAAAAATGTTATATACGAGCAATTGAACAAACAATATTCTGTAAGTGCGTCATAGTTTTACAAGTCTTCTTTAAGTTAAGTTTTTACTGAAAAACTACTAGATTCACCAAAAAGTTTATATAAGCTTTTTCTCTTCATTTTGGCCTAACGAGCCGATGAAAATCATTTTGCTGCATTTTTCTTTATACGTTTTTATCATATTATTAAACTGCCTGGAACACGTGTACATGTAAGAAATTATCAAAGGTCTGTAGTCTAAGGACGATTATCGTAATAGACAGTGCCACGTTTGAAAAATTTGAGTGAGGCTATCAAAAAAAATTTTTGACCTAAAAGTGTCGCTTGGAAACTTTGAAGACTCCCCGAACAAGTCGATATTTTTCGGGAATTTGCTCATTAGGAAAGCAATCACGAAAAACAAAGTTGTTTACGCATCCATTAATGCGAAGCATATATATCAAATTTGCCATACAAGTAGCAATAGGTTTTTTCACAAAGTAAACGCCTCGTTTCTTAATTGTGCGTTGAGCAACCGCGAGACAAGAGAAATCAGGCTTAAGCCTGATGTAGTTTCGTACCTCTTAATGAGTTAAAAATTTTTGTGATAACGCGAAGCTAAAATACCTTTGTAACCACTTTTGTTGTTTTTGGTACAGATTATAGAGATTGTTTCGATGAAACGCTCGATAAACCTCGTAAAGTATCATTTCTGCCTTTAGATTGGTATGGTTTAATGATGTTATCTTTTTGTGTTACATGACGGTAGACAGAGAGACTCTGGTGAAAAATGCGCATTTCTCAGAGTTTTAAACAATTCATCCGTAAATGTCCTCGCGAGAGGAAAAAGCATATTCGGAGGAGGAGCCCGTCTTATTGTTTGAGAGTAATAATTAAACGCAGGAGAGCTGGCCTACTTGCAGGTAAAAAACGACGGAAACCGAGTGCGAAATAATCAGATGCAGGTAGGTAAGCAAGAAGCAGAGGTAGGAGAAGCCAGATTGCGCGGTACCTGTATGGGTTATACCTCCTATTGTTTCGAGTAGTGTGCGTGGGTTCTAGCGATGCTACACCCATTTCATGCAATGTATATAATATATACACATGCGACTGCGTTACTACTCCATCTCGTACACGTATAGCAACCCGTACATCACGCACCGTCCCAAGGGAGATTTCGACGAGTATAATACAATGTCTCTCTCTCACGTAAGTACACTTTAGATCACGTCCGTACATATGGTGTGAGAGAAAGTTTATTGCCGTTGACGTGACGCATCAGTCTTGAGCTCTTGATTGTTAACTGCGGTCATTTGGCTCGAAATTTCGCCAAGACGCCCAACCATGGGTACGTAGGATTATATAGATACGCGTGAGGTATATCTAGGCGTGGACAAAATTTTCTACTCGAAACGAACACGGAAATTGAAATTAACCGTATACACTTGTCATCACGAAATCGTGGAAACGGTTAATGGTAGAGGGAAAATCAAATTAGTTCAAAAACCGGTAATACCCGATGTGGTTTTCCTAGCGAGAAGAGACAATGTACCAAATATAATATCGACTCCAACTGATAAAACTCATACTAATGTCCAACAGCGTTTCGTACGGTACAAGATGAGAACGTCTTTGTTTTTTCGTAGAACAATCTCAGATATAAGTATATGAAGAAGAAAGATGGAAAAATCGGTTCGGAACTTCAATATACATGACGGGTAATTATAGATGCGGGCAAGCACTTCCGACACCCATCCTCTAATGTACTCGATATACTTACACGCCGTATATTAATTATTCGTTTTCCTTGATTCCCCTGCACTTCACTCGTTTTCTCTCTCTCTCTCTCTCTCTCTCTCTCTTTCCTTGAGTATACGCTCAAACAAGAAGTCCCTCCGTTACTTATTATCTCTTTTCCCCACTTCTGGGGCCTCTCTCTCTCTCTCTCCCTCCTTGCACTCGTTGCAATGGCTGCTTCGCTCCGAACTAGCCATCAGGCAAGAGAGAAGGAGAGTGCTACTACTATACTTACTTATCTGCTTTGCTATGCGAGCTACCTGTCTTTCTTTCTCGCTCGGGCGTCAAGCTGGGATTCTCGCGGCAGTTTTTTCAGTACCTACACGCCCGGCCGCCCGACACGTCGTCCTCGTCGTCGTCACCGGTGCGCACGTTATCCCACTCGAGTATACCTGGTGCGCGTGTGTGGAAATCGCGAGTTTTCGGCATGTGATAGCGAAAGTGGTGCATGGTGTTTCTACAACGTGTCTCTGTGATTCCGTGTGCCAATGGTATACAGCTGACGCGTGACGTGTTCCACGCGCGGCGATCGCTAAATAAAACACTTGACGATTGCGTCGTGTGCAAGGATATATAGTCGAAAGGTTTGGTTTTTCCTTCCAAATGCCCGTTTCCAGTGGAAATCTATCGAGCAGAGATGATCGTTACGTTTGCGTTTACGAGCCTGTTTTTTTTTTTTTTTTTTTTTTTTTCTTCACGCTCGTGCCGCTTTGACGGCGAGGATGTTATGTCACGCCGTTGCATCTGGTGGAGCTGAACGGGGAATAAAAGAAAAAGAAAAAAAAAAAAGTATACTCGTTACATCGTGATTATTGTTCCTGTGCGAGGTGATGCCAGCCCGATGCTATGCCGCGTTAATTATTCCAACGGTTCCCTGTCCGAGCTCCACTGATAAGCGCGATGTAGTTTCATTGTTCGTATCGTGTAATTTATCGATTTTTACCTTCAATGGCTTGACTCGAGCTCGCGTGGGTGAAAACGTCGAGGTGCAAGAGGGGATCATTGCAGTTTTATTACATGAGCCAGTGGCGTTGTTGAAAGACCGAAATGGCCATTTCATGATGCCTACGGTGTTTGCACCTGTTAGGACTTTTTTTTCCAATTTAAAGCTCTCGTTACAACAAGAGATTTATTATTTTGTCAAAACGATATACTGGTAGCTCTAGCCGTGGTGAAAAAAATAACCAAACGCAAAGTCTTATCGGATAATGTATGCGGTGCGGGCGCGATCGGGTATCTGTCTCGCGAACTCTTATCTGCCAGCGTGGCTTCTCGCGCTCAATTGCATCGGACACCTTTTTTTTTTTTTTTTTTTTCAGTCACGTCACGTGTCGCTTCAAGTCATCGTCTCGTAAACGAATTATGAAAGATACCCGCGCGCGAAAAGTTAATACCGGGGAATCCCCTCGGCGTTACAGATTTCTGCAGCATATACGTGTGTACGAGTACACAATAAATTCCACCGCAGGGTCGTCACTACACGCCATAAATCATCGAAACTCTTTCGTGAGCCAGCGTTTTTCGTTAAAGTCGTGACTAATGTTGACACTATTAGTAACATCGTTGCAGAGCAAATGAAAGAAAAACAACGGCTAATGAATATACAATTAGTTAGTCGAACCGAGGAAACACGCACGGCATTGAGTTGACACACTGTACGTTTCGAGGATTGTTGTACCAACGCTCCGACATCTGTTTGATATTTGCTCGCGCGAGATAACCGACTGATTTTCAAGATCTTCTTCTCGACAAGGCCCCTCAATGAAAACTCGGTGTAGCGGCTACTTTTCGATTGATTATTTACCTATACGTGTCGCAAACGCTATACAATTAGACCGAACTATACCTCGTGTACCCCGGCACTCCGGTCAATTATTCAATTCCGAAGTGTAAACTCTCGTTATCGTCCGTGGACGCGCCTAGTTATTGTCCTCGCTCATACCCAAACAAACTCCCCCTGCAGAGCACACCCACACACACACAACAGCAGTAATAGCGCAGCGGTGACAGTGAAACGTGGCCTTGGAACGCTTATACATACGCGTCACGGCAAAACTCCGTAATTGCCGGGTATATACGCTCGCCCGGTGGCCGATAGGTCGAAATTGCAGCCGCGATGATTTACCGGCAAACGGAGTCGAGCAGAGGGAACAGTGCGCCAGAGGCACCGCGTGCTATGTATGTATGCTGTCAGGGTGTTATGTGCAGCGAGAGCCCCGAGCTTGCTTTAGCCGATTGTACCATCCAACTACTCCCAAAGATCCTTCAATTGATAAATGAGATGAGAGGACAAGAAAAAAAAAAAAAAGGCTCGCTTTGTCCCGAGTAATGCGATGGTTTGTGGACAAATGTAGTGTGCACTGGGGATTCTGTGGTTTAACAGGGTAGCCCATCCCTCATTTTTTTTTTTTTTTTTTTTTTTTTTGCAGAGTTGTAATTTAATTCGTATAATGCGGATACTATACGCATAGCCCTAGGGTCAAGAGGGTTTTCGTGTTCGTGGCTTTACTAAAAGTTTTGTACTGACAAACTTTGATTTTACCGAATCAGAGGTGGACACCGGGTCGAAATGGGAGAAAAACAATCGTGAGCTAATGCAATAATTTTTTGAACAACTTTTTTACTTCGGATTTTTCAGCTTCTTGCAAGTTGTTAGCAAAGATGGTCTCTAAAGATTACAGGTCTATCAGACAATTTTTCATTGAAATCAAACTAAAGAATCTAAATGTATTGTTTATAATACAAATTAAAGAAAAAAGTTGTTTGTAATAATTCTTGCGTCATTTTCCCCGATGTTTGTCCTTGAAAATATGCAAGTAGAAGCTTGTCATTGGAGCCATGGATAAGACCCGTATCCACCCGTGAATCATACCACAGTTTAAATATAATTCTTGAAAACCAGTAGAGTACGCTCGTTTGGATTTAATTTTTGTACTCATCGCTCCCACGAACATCCACATTTATTGCGGTGTTCCCGAGACGCCCAAAGGAATTCCTCCTCCTCGTCTCGCTTTCGAGCAAAAATGAGTTTCGGTCGACGAAATTAAAAATGTTGGTATACAAACGAGATCTCCAAGATCTCCAACCTTATCGCCCCATTTGTGAAACTTCACCCAGACCCGGACAATCGGACTGCAAGATAAGCTCGTTGTAATATTTACACAATTCCACAACTACTTGCAGCGCGGTCGCGATATTGCGCTTATCTTCGTGGCATCCGCGCCACCTAAGCGCAACAGCTGAGGGACAAAAATTTCACGACGAGGTGCTAACGCGCCCAGGAAAATTGTTTCGCGTAAGTGCTGCATTGCATTTTTTTTTTTAGCTAAAAAATGAATAAAAAAGTTGAACGTGAGCCGAGTGACAAAAGTAGGGACGAGCAAAGAGCAATTGATCTCAAATTTGGCGTTGTAATTTTTTATTACTTTATCTAAGATTTTCTATTGATTGCTCTTAATAAGTACAAACACCTGTTCCAACGTAGTGATGTGTGAAAAAATAACGTTCTTAAACGAGATGTAGCTCAATTTGTACTCAAAAAGCTCGCAACAAAACAATCATATTTTATTTTGTAAAATATATAAACAGCACAACAACGATAACACGCTATGTTAATATTTTCACCCTAACTTTGATCGATCAGTACTTTTCTCTCGATTATACTGGTCCGTATAAATGGGCAGTTCAACATATTTCTTCGAGTCACCGTGTCATGCTTCAAAAATCGTTTTCTATAATAGTTGCACCTCACCCCCCAACATTGTAAACTCGACCTCCATTTTTGATTACCCAGCTGACAGCTTGATGGGTAGGGGGAATCCCGCATTAATACAGCCACCTCTTTATAACTGGATATCGTTGGGTTGGTTCGTCTACTTTGGCTGAAATGTGTATTTTTTCGGTTTCCAAATCAAGAGAGACCCGACTGCTTTTACCATCGCCATACCAGCTGTCCCTGCGCATTGAAATTACATTTTTCAGTGCTCGACGGAAATGGAAGCATAGCGTGCCGCTGACAAACTCATCGCGCTCTTACCCTGTCATTTCGACGGAGCAAACTCAGCAGAGAAACTGTCCCTCTTACACTGTTTTGCGTGACTCGCGAAAATCAAAGTATAACTTGCATTTACGGCATCGTCCATGGCACCTGTACTTTTGGTTTGTTTTTTTTTTTTCATTTTTGTTTGTTTTCGAGACAAATGAATGTTACCGCGAATGATGCACCAAAGTAAATTATATTTTTTTGCTGATACTTACACCTCGGGTTACCTCTAATCAGTGCGAGATAAGATTTTTCACAACGAAGCGAAAAAGTGCAATGCTACGTCACCCGTATCGTCCACAAAGGGATCGGTCACACCTCGAAAAAACAACGCGTAATATGCCGTTTCCGCCAACAATCCCGCATTATATACACCTTCCCGGAGAAGCCGCATTTGTATGCCCATAACAGGGCCGCCGTGACACAATGGGCGCACGCGTACGTATATCCACACAATTGATGAGGCAATCGATTAGTCAGCAGTGGGAAAACGTCAATAGCGGGGGACCACGCGGCTCGGAAACGATTGAATCTTCGTCAGCTCGCGAATTGGTATATTATAATATGTGCCCACGTGTACTCGATAAATATATTTGCTCGGCGCAGCGGAAAAACATCCTTAAGCTCCCACCACTCGCATTAATCATGCACGTAAAAACTTGTGTAAGTATTGTTGGACTGGACAATGTTGTGGTGAGAGTTTACGGTGTGCACGTGCGTGGAGTACAAATTTGGTTTAAGTAGGGCTGCGTGTGATCCTCCAAGCGATTAGTGGGACTGCAGTGGCTTTGTTGAACTACATTTACAAAAAAAAAAAAAGTACTTCGTCGGGATATCTTTTTTGGTCTCGGAATCGCGGTGACGACAGGTAATATATTAAGCCTACTGGCAGTTTGTCGTTAAGAATGACAGTTATCAGTAGGAAAAGTGTAAGATTGTACGCGTATGTCGATACTAATAATGAGGAAAATAAACGTTCGGCTTTCCATTTTTGTTGCTGTCAAGGCAGAGCTTTACCTTCACAACGGGTCATTGGTTTTTTTTCTTTTTTTTTGAACATTTCCAATTTAATGGTCAACGTGGGGTTTCGATTCGAAAAAGCTAGACGAAAATCGTCACGTAATATATTCCACTGCGAGACTATCGATCTCGACGACGTCAGTGTCGTAGTTTTACGGAGTTCACGTTTGTATGCGAAAATATCGGATTAAAACTTCACTTGATGGATTTATACCTGTCAAGGCTGACGTTACTTGTAACGAACGTTATTGAAATACAGTAATAATTTAATGGCTACATTGAACTTTTATTCGATGGCATTGTTTTGATCCCTCGTTGCACGTCATTTATCCTTCTTTGATAACTCTTTAACTTAAAACTCTTCTTGTTTTCCTTTTTAGGGACACTTATCAATGTTTCCCCGATTGCTCTTACAACTTTCGTCACTTCATTAATTGTCTTTCAAACTAGGTGGTACATATTTTTTTCGTGTACACAAACACGAGCTCTGTGGTGTTTTACTTTTAATTATGTATGTTCCAATATTAACGTTTCTGTTGTTGTTTCAATTACTTTTCTCGAATACACAAAAATCATCAGTTGTATGAAAGGGCGAAAAAACAATATAAATAAATTCTTGATACTAACTTGGAACTATATGGTTGTTGTAATATAATGTCATGAATGAAAGAGTTCACGGTCACCTCTTGTTTTTCATCAAATACATATACACATGTTGTAGGATTAATTATATATGTACATGTTCGGTGAATGCACTAAAAAGTCGTTTGTGTGAAATGACTAATTGCATGGTTGTAACAGTATTCGTAGCGTACAATTTACAAAATCACAAAAATCATCCATACATATCTTTTGAAAAAATTATTCTATATTAAAAACAAAAAACAACCGAGCTTGAACAGCGTCGGAGGTAAAAAAATACCCACAAATCCTTTGGCACGATCATTATTGTGATGGTAAACACACTCGGCGTAATCGTTTGTACGCGTTTGTACAAATAACATGGATATTTTTTCTTAAAGACCAAACAAACCGTCCCATTTGTTTTAATGAAAACACTTGGCTACAGTATCTTTGTGTACCTCAGCCAAGCTAACAGGTGAAACTAACGCTCCTCGAACCGCCGCTTCCATCGGTCTCTCGGTGCTTACGTAACGCGACCCCTTCGCGCATTCCGAGTGGAGAACCCTTTTGATGACTCTAACTATATTATATATATACCTCTTTCGAGCGTCACTTATGTAGGTCTGATGCTGCAGTAAAATTTTATGCCCTCGCGCATCAAGTTTATATAGCCCATATACGTGTGGGTACGCACTTGACTCGCACAAATCGTTTTAGATAAGTAATCGGTTCGCTCAGTCGGTTTCCGCCCGTCGACACCGAGTGAGCAAAGCACACATAATAATATGCTCGCCTTCGATTGATTCCGCCAACTCGTGCGCATCGTCCTGTTGCTGGATATATGTGTACTTACCCGAGTATACTTGCATTGCCAATGTCAGGTTCAGCACGTGCGTTTCCGATTCACCGGACTCTTTATCAGCTGCTCTTTCGTGGTGCAATGTGCATAATAATTATGAACGGCCGCTGCTCTGCTCTTATTTTTTTTTTTTTATCGCGTGTGTTAATTGTGAGTGCGTGGGTTCATTCTCCATTTGGTGCGTGGGTTGGGTGACGCTCTTGGTAATGATTAATCACGAATTTCCAATACGCGCGGACTGTGATTGCGAAACATCGGGGGCCAGAGTTTTCACGTTTTATTTTGAGCTTTCCGTTTGAACGACAAGAGTAATTAAAATATGGCTCAACGATGATTTCGATAAGTACTTTTATATTTATATGAAAAAAAAAGATTCATTTGATGGAAATCGTTTATTCAGAAATAGTTTTTATTTCAAAGTGTGTGGAACATTTTAGAGTTTCAATTGATCAAATGCCGTTTACGACATCTTAATGTTTAAAACATACACGTTGAGAATTCAATTTGTCAAAACCCCTTCCATCAAACCTATAAAAAATGTAGTGCCTATACTACATTTCATTAAATAGTGTTGTGCATGCCATCTCTCGATTGTACGCTTAATCCCCTCAAATTCAAATCTCTGATCGATAAAAACAACAATTTATAGGAAATAACCAAACATACATTACAAAATATATATTTGTATCTTCTAAAGTATCCTCGGTATTTTTAGATGTTTCTTTACGCAGAGATAAATTTGTTGTTCATTCAAAAATATACACATTTACACCCACGTAGAAACACGGATCTCTTTAATTAGACACAAAATTGAACCAAAAAATACAAACATCCGGTTAATATTGAGTGAAAAAATAATATCGATGAATATTGACAAACCTCTCGAGTGACCGTCCACTCATATAATATTCCGTAACGAGGTGAATGGTTTGTTCTAAGCTCACCCCGGCTTTTGCTCCAGACAATGTATCAAAAATTAATTTTATGTAAACTCAGTAATTTGAAGAATTACACACACTTTTATGTATAAAATGACTATTCCACACATCGAAAATTGTAACTACATAGGTGATTAGACGAGTAGACAGCCAAGTCTGAAAAAGCTCTCTCTTACAATATGTCTCGGCGAAGTGAATCACGGAAGACGCCAAGGACAAAAACAAACTCATATTTTTCCACAAATCAATAGTAAAAAAGCATAAGATATCAAACAGATCGTCCGATCGCAGAAAATTCAGGGACGACTCTCTCGGCCGCGCTAAAAACTGCCGCGTAATGTCAACAGCTTTTTTTTTTTTTTTTTTTTTAATCACCAAGCGGATTAATCAATTTTCCTCGAGCGCGCGATAGAAGTAGTAGTCGATCGCGTGCGCTCGAGCTTTCGCGTAAGCTCGTTTTCTTTATTCCGACCAACCGAGCGTTTCTCTGTTATTCATAAATTTAGCCGCTTATCTCGAAGCTTTCGTGCTTTACTGATTGACGTTGGGAGTTATTTGCTCGATGCACGCGCGGTATATCCCACGTTACAAACTTATGGTAGTGTTTGTGAAAATGAGAAATATTTTTCTGGTATGACGTGTTAGTTTGGAATTACTCGACGCTTGGAAAAAAAGTCGAGCGCTCCACTTTCGACTCTGTTGGGCCTATGTAGATAATTTCGTTCTCAGGAATTCCAAATTGGGTTGTAATGGAAAGTCAACCAGCCGAAAAAGAGAACGTTTTGAGACTGTGGATGACTGTTTTTCTGCTTAAATACTTGGTGGATTATTCAGACCATCAAACGTTCCGTACAACTGCTATGATGCAGTTTTTGAGCGAAAATATACTGTACTTCCATAGGATGTCCATAATAACGCACTTTAATTTTCTAGTAAATCCATATGGATGTTCATTCCAGTGACCTTTATGTCAGCGACGACTTTTCATTATTTGGACAGCCAATCTCCAGGCAGTTTGCTTTCCCTAGTCACTTTTACTGCATTGTGATTATCCATCGAAATAATGGGCATTTCATTGCACTTGAGCAATCGACGAAATCAAGGTCGCTGGAATGAACATCCATGGTTTTCCTACGAAATTGAAGTACACCGCCGTGCACCAAACAAAACAAGAAGTAGTAGTAGTACGAGTATACCATGACGTCACGACTCGACAGATTAGCGTTACCGCTCGTTCGATACTTTTCTGCTGGAAAAGCGTGGCTCGATAAATATACAGTCATATTCCCCCAATGCAACATTGTGTTCACATCGAGTGGCTCCGTTATTGTGTACAGGTCTTGCTCGTTGGTTCTCGATCCGGCAGCAGCGAGTCCTGCTAGGAGGTGTCTCCGTGGGCAGTGCATCGAATAAAAATAAAATAGTGATTTGACCAAAAGTGAAGTGCTCTACTTGGACAAGTGCGTCAAAGCCGATGCGATTGAGCATCGCCAGACAGATAAGTATACCCGTGCATCTGAGACGCGAGCACCATGACGTTCTCGTCGCAGCTGAGGAGGAGCCTGAGACGCCGGGACGCCCATCAGAGTTGCCACAGTATCGCCTCAGTCGCGGCCGATGAGCCGGTGGTCACGAATGGCCACGCGGATGACGAGCCGGGGGCTTCGCCCACCAAGACGCATAAAGACTCGAGGCTGACGACTCGGCAGCTCAGGCAGGCAGGTGAGTTGTGCTCGTTGGGAGCTCCTGTATGTTCGGAGTGACATCAGGTCACACTGTGATTTAAATGGATAAAGGCTTGAGAAATGCGGTTGGAGAGAAAGAGAGAGAGAGAGGTAGATTAGGGTTCCAAAGAAAAGGTGTTATACATTTAATTGCTCAACTACAATACTTCATGAGCTATGCAACGGACACACTGTGTAAATAAATATTTTTCACTCACCTATTCTGCACTAAAAAAAAAAAAAAAATTATTTAAAAAATACAAGAATCATCATTGCGCGTCCGTTAATTCGTGATTTATTATCAACCATTCGATACTTTCGTTTAATGGTAAAAAAATATTGGTTAATAGCAAGGCTCATTCGTTATTAATAGTTAATGAGTAGGTATTCGATTATGTTACTGTATGTTTTTTTTTTTTTTTTTCCAACCTCTGACACTTGTAAACAAATACTTCAGTATCTAATTTTTAATGATTAAGTACTCACTCGTATTTAAGAAAAAACAATAAATGAGCGCGACTTGAAGACAAGTGATATTTTTTATCAGTGTCGTGTACTACTGTAACCTCGTTAAACGCAGTGAAACGAAACTTTTTTTGTCACACCACCTTGATTAGCGTAACGACTTCTCAACCAAATTTTTTTACAGTTGACAGTGTATTCGGTTTAAAAGCACCGCCTATACCATGGAAAGCTAAGAAACAACTGGAAAACTTTGTCCATGTACTGACCCACTGTAACAATTATCGAGTGCATAATTATTATTACCCTAGTGCGCGTACGCTTTACCAGTTTGAAAAATCACCTGCCACGTCACGGCTGTTTCCTCGTTAAACGACGTGAAATCACACGCGAGCAGTCAATCATTCCACGTCTCGGCACACACGCTATCGGTCCCCTTTAATATCAAAGCCCATACATTTACGTAGGTATAATATGCACCGGGTCTCGAGAGAAACCAAACATTCCGGATAAACAGGGCAAGTGACGCGAGTTTTTGATCGATCGGCGCACTTGATGGCCACGTGTGCCATGGAAATTTCGATACCGGCCGATGACTCAATTGAAACACAATACACCGACGGCTAAGTAAAGGAGCCAGCTGACGCGGCGAATTTTTCTTTTTCTTTCCTCAAACGTTACAGTAATGGCTCGTTGTGATCCCGATAGCAAGAAGAGTTTTTCTCACAAATAAGAAAGAGTTTTTAGGGTAAAAAAAGAAAATTCTCTAAATTGTAGCGTTAGAAAAATACCACAAGCAAACCCCTCCCCCTCTCTCTCTCTCTCTCTCTCTCTCTTGTGCTGAAAAGCCAAAGCTCTCGAGTAAACATAGAAGCCACGCGGGGCATAAAAAGCTAAAAGTCTTGTGGCCCGCTGCAGCGAAGCGCGAGCTGAAGAAAAAAAAGGAGGAGGCCGAGGAGGCGCCCTCTCCCCCGGCCTCGAGCGGCAAGCTCGAGCGCAAGCCCTCGCTGCGGTACAAGTTCGGCAGGCTGCTAAAGGGGACCGCCGAGTTACCGGCAGCCATCAACCGCGGCTTCCGTCGGAACGTGGCCAGCCGCGGCGACTCCACCAGCAACAACGCCCGCGTCAGGGGCAACGAAGCCAGCTGCCCCAACATCGACCATCTGCTGCGGATGCAGGAGCTACAGCGCGAGGAGGCACGCAAGCTCGCGGTGCGACCCCCACATCAGGTGCGCCAGCAGGCCAGGCTCACGGCTTCGTCGATGAAGCACTCCGTCAAGTGGTACAGCAGCCTCGGCTCGCTCGAGGAGAAGTCCGAGGAGGAGACCAGTCGGCCGAGCTCCTTTGCCTATCCCACCTCGCTGCAGGACCTCAGAGTCATGGGCACCACGAGCCTAGAGAACCTCGTAAGTTTGGAGGATTGATTTTTTTTTTCTTTCTCGACAAATTTCAATCCAAATGAGGACGATCCTCCCCTGAGAGTGCGTTTTCAACTGTTGCACCAATAACAAAGAGAGTGTCCTCTTAAGCGTGTCCTTCTGCAGGCTTTTATACGATACACCTCTGTTGTTTTCCTTCGGCCCCCTCCAAAAACTTTCCCTTTCATTGTTTGCAGACAATTTTCTTCGCGTCCACCGTTTTTCCAAAGTGTACGTATAGGAGACACAGGAGGGATTTCAAAAAGTTGCGCATCGGCTTTCCCTCCACCCCTTCCGACCAGTACTGCTTTTCCAGCCAAGTCACGCGTGCCTGTACCTACATTTGTATTTGTTCTTTGCGGAAAAGTTTCTCTACTCCGATGCTCGTGCATTGGGCTCCTCCTTTGGCCAACGTATTGGATTTTGATGAAAATCGATTAAACCACACGCGTGTACATGTGGAGAAAATGCGTTTCATATACGCGTGGGCCGCTGATAAGAGTTCGTATCGCGTTTTTCCGCCCTGATTCACGTCACCCGGCCCATCATCGGATTATTAATCACGCGTACCCAAGCGAGGGAGGGTAGGGGGTGGGCGAATATTCCATCAAATAGGAAGCGATGTACGGGGCGCATTCATCAATCTGAATTACTCGTCACAACACCCTCACCGTTACAGGGGGGGGGGAGGGGGTGTGCAGAGCCTTTGCGCCGATGTCACTTACTGCTGCAGCTATCGGCTCATTAGCCGCCCTCTCGTGTGACCTTTCACTTTACAGCAGCTGGTGACGGGCGTGCGATGTAATGTTTCCCGAGCGCCGTGTCATTATACCTTGCGCATCGGTTTCCCTCCTCCATCCGTCCCGGGGTAGAGGTAATTAAATAGCGACACCCCATGTACTTCGTCGCGTTATAATAGGCACTATCTTCCCCGAAGCTTTTGCGCTTCCTCGTTATACGTACACCCGCGCTCGCAGGTGCCGGAGGCCTGTTTGCCGGAGATAAAAATGACCAGTTAATGGAGAGGGTCTCTCGTGAAGAGCTGCCCCGACCGTGTGTAACGTGTACCGTGCTCTTGGGAGGGGCAGGAGAGTGTCCCAGAGGCTGATGACACTTGTGAGAGCACCGCTGAAGTCTGGCTCTCCGTATCCAAGTGCAGGAGCTCTGCTCGTCTCCACTTCTCCGTAATTCCAGCCCCTTTTCTCTATTACCTTTCTTTTTTCTGGTCCTTCAGTGATCATGTTCCTTTTTTTCCCTTTTTTTGAAACGGGCTTTCAAAAGGTATAATCGCGGTTTATCTTTCTCTCGTTCCCTTCCAAATCGGGCAGAGAGCTCCGGCATTGCTTACGCGAGGGCTTTTTCTTTCGCGAAACAAATCCGCTTTCAGGTGTAAGCGTTTAATGAGCTCTCTCTTTGGGTGCTCGAATTACGCACGAGAGGAAAAAATGAGTCCTCTTTGCATCCCCCCCCTCTCTCGTTTTTTTGTGAATTCGAGTCTGACTCGTTTTTGCCCGGCTCGAGTGATTATTTTTTGCGGGTTACAAAAGGTGCTCATTATTCACTCCGGAGGTGGTGCAGAGGATGATAAATTAGTCGCGCCGAATTAGCTTATTTTTCACATTTCATTCAAACATGGAAAATACACGCACGTTCCTCCCTTCGTCACTAATTCCCGGTTTAACTCTATACTTTTTAGATTTTTTTCTACAGAACCACCCTTTTTATTCGCGTCAACTAGATTATCGAAATTCGTCGATTAAATTAAGTAAAACTGCAAATTTTCCTTCAAACGCGATGTCTCGCTAATCCGTGCAAAGCTGCGGCTGACTCGAGACCCCGGCGCAAATGGCAATCCTCGCCGAATCCCGTGGCTTAGAGGCGGTATAAAACCGCGAGTAGGTAGATCGAAAAGCCAATTACTAAATGAGTTTGTTTTCCCTCTTTTTTCCCGAATAAAAAAAAAAACCACCCGAATGCCTTACTAATTATTCGGAACCGGAAAACCGATGCGAAATATTTTTAATCCGGGAGGATAACTATGCCGTACTCTCGCGGTTGAAAAACTCCGGTTGCCGAAACTCATTTTTAATTGCACGAAAATACGATCGGGGGGCAAGAGATTAATTTTATTCATCAAAACTAAGGTCAACAGCTTGTTTCGAGTATCGGCCCAAGGTTGAGACAAAATCAATCCCGTACATTGTCGAAGATACGGCTCTCTTCTCAGTAGGTCAATTCAATCTTACCCGTAGTTCCAGTAGTCTCGGGGCACGTCCTTTTTAGGTACTATGGAGTATTGAAATAATGTCGACTTTTTACGTCCACCCACCACCGGTTCCATTTCGCCACGCGGCTCGTACAACTTCTCCCCCCCGCCCACCCCTGTAGTAGCAGTTGTCACCCCTGGAGAGCGACAGGTAAGTAGCGTTAAGTAGTCAGAGTCGGGCGTTACAAGGAAATCCTTTTATTTTCCCTGGAACTGTTTTGGTAAAGGACGGCCGGCCACACGTGGCGATTCATTTCTATTTGGTTTCCACATCCTCCCTGCCAGTTCTTCCTTCCTTTCGTTAAACAGAAGCGATGTTTCCTGCGATTATCCAGGCTACCATCGGAGTGTAGCTTTTGTTTCCTATACAGCTTGGACGTTTGCCGCGCACTTGTCGGGAAAAACACGGTACTCGGAACTACTAACGTGTGTCACTAGTTTCGTATGTGAGCGACAATTGACGTTATGCCTTTTGCACAAGTAACTCAATACTCGTTGTCTTGCAAAGGCTAGAGTGAATCATTTTTAAGCTTAAGGATACTCTGTTCAGTGGTAGGGAAAATGTTTTCTTCAGCACTGCTGGATTGTAATATATTCCCGAGGTACAACCTCGAAGGGGAGTACAAATAGATTTTATTGGTTGAAAAATAAAAAGCTCCTATTTTTTGGGCTCCGCACCTCTGCAATCTAACTTATGGCCAGTCATCGCTAGAAATTAAAATGGTAAAGAAATTAAATAACATTACAAAAGGTATGATCGATCCCTCCCACTCGCAACGAGGTCTCTGACGCTCGGCGATGACAGCGAAAAGTCTCGAGCAGCGTAGGTAGGATATTTTACTTTGCGTTTTCACGGTTTTTCTTATTTTTAGTGTATCGTGTATCTTTTCCGCGGTAGATTAAATCACATTTTTCACAAGTCGCGTGCCCCGATAGCAAATCACGCGAGCCTCGCGTGATTGCCTTATTCGCTTTTTGAAGCCTCGCACACGCCCGTGCGTCGATGCCATCCGATAATCCCGATGACTCGAGTACTGCACTCTATATGTATATAAACAAGCGAATTCTCCTCGTCAACAATCGCAGCTCCGTATCGCCCGTATTTGCGATAAATCTATACTCTTTGGAACAAAATCCGACGTTGGAGCTCTGTACAAAAAAAAATAAAAAAAAAAAAAAATAAAAAGAGTCAAACGACACGTGCGTGCCGTATCTATATGTACAATATAGTGATTTAAAAAAATTGTTCATTGATTTTTCCCGCTTACGCAGCTGTACCCCCTATCGGGTTTACGCTTCTGTCTCTCGTACGCGTGTGGGTACATTTTTCTTCCCTATCGCGACCCCCGTATCTCCCGGTTAATCTTTCTTCTATTCAATTTCGTGCCCCGAAGCGATCATTAACATTGTTGCTATCTCTCCCAAAAAAAAAAAAAAACTTGTTAAATCGCAGAACGATCCATTTTTCTCGAGCTGGAAATAAAAAAAAAAACAACTCGTTGCTCGTGAGATTACGCGAGATACAAACGAATCAACTCATCAGCGTCGAAAATTACAAAAAAAAAAAAAGGGGGAAAAAGTTGGCGCGCAGCTGTACCCGTTATCTCGGTGCGACTCCGGCACGGCGAGGGGGGGGGGGGAGAAAAATAGAGTGGATGACTCGCTGAAAAATCCGCGCGAGAAAAATGGATTAGAGCGCGTGTATCGCCGTGGATTAAGCGAGTCCCTTATACTGTATCCCGTGCGGGAACGGAGAGCTTCGGTGCACGTGTACAAGAAGCACCAAGGGATTCGTTATCCGGATGCGGCACGCGTTGCCCTCGACGAACTGATGATGCAGTTTTCAGGTTTTTTCACCTGTTACGGATGCGTTTGAGGGTACGACCCACGCATTGAGGTTATTTTTCATCCTTTAGACCGCGTTGGGGTAAAAAAGTGTTTTTTTTGTAGAATTATCTAAATTGCCACCAGCATCTCAGTTAAAACAGCAGGTGAGGTAAGCTTTTCAACAAAGCGCATAGAGTTGACATTATTGTATGTATAAGTGTAATTGTATAGTGACCGACGTGTACGTCCGGCTCATAATCAGTTTGACGTTACGATAAAAAACATTTCGAGGTGATAAACTACATCATTTATCTACACAATTTTTTCGACTTTTTTCTCAAAATAAACCTACACCTGTGCCGCTTAAAACAATTTTTTCCCTCTGATTTCCTGTCAACCCCGGTGAATGATACATCCTACCTACACACCCAGTTCTAAATTTTGCACACGTAGTGCTTTGAAAATGGGCCATCCAAATTTAAAAGCATCACTCAATTTTCTCGTCATTTATTTTTGCAAACAAAAAAAAAAAACCCTTTTTCCCTCCAAAAAATCGATGCGCTCTTAGTCACGATTTTTACCTCGCATGGACCACCACGTGATTTCCATCGGCAGCTGTGCCCCAGATCAGCATGTAAAAAAGTACGCGCGAAACAGCGATCCAGCAAAAGCTTGACGGCTACACACTCCGATGTAAAAAAATAATCGCGCGTACGTGCATGCAGCCATTGTCTTGAAACGCAGCAATATTGAAATTTCGGGGTTGCAATTTCCTCCTCGGGAAATCAAACGCCCACGCGGTGCATCGGAATCCATAGCCCGCATTTATTTCACATGATGCACGTGTAGTATATAGGTATATTATATACATGGAATATGCAATTTGGTCAAGTTCGCGTGGGAGGCCGAATTGACGCCGGATTGTATATATCACCTGCTTGGCGAAAGGAGCATTCCCCGCCCACACTGTAAAACACGCGGTAATAACTTTCGGGAAATTTGGTGTACAGCGAGTGTTTGCACGGGTAGCCGAGAAAAATAGAAACTCATCTCGGATATGGGAGAGAAAATATTTAGGGATGAAAATAAAAGCAAGCGGTGGTGATACTCTACAATAACCCGGGTATTACTTGCATGTATATAGCCGTGCACGTCGCAAGAGAGGAGTTCTCCGTTCCCTTTACCTCTTTTTCATTGTAGCCGATCTTACTCGAGAGAGGCGGTATTAGAGCTCACGTGTATAGGTGTACATAAACACACGTTTACCCTCCGCCAGGAATCTTATTTTCTCCCTGGTATTCGTACTTTTTTTTAATTTAATAAATTCATGGTTATTGACTATTTTTTGTTCTTATTATTTTTTAAACAAATTACTCGCGCATCTTAAGTACAGTTTTTTTCTTTTCGTTGCTGTTTTGGTTGGGGATAATCAGGTAGATAATAGGGTATCTTCTTAGCTGCGGGACATTGTCATTTTTTTCCCTGCCTTTTTTTTTTTCTTTCCGGTCCCTCCTTGTGCCGGCTCGATGACTTTTATCTCGTAACCCGGACTTGCTTTTCGACTTTTTTCGAGTTTACAGAATTTCCTCGCTCTTTATTACAATTTCTTTTCGGCTCCGTTGCGTACTTTAGTTGCCCCGCTTTTTTCCCTTTCTGGTCCCCATTGTGCGGCCGCTTTATTCATGCTTACGCTTTATTTCTTTGTCTGTTTCTTTTTTTTTTTTTTTTTTTGTAAGTTCGAGGTTAACAATAATATGAAAACTGTCAACAATGAATAAAAACCACGAATTAATTGAAAAAAAAAAAAGGTATTCGATATCGCTAACCACTAAAAATGCCCGACTGTGCCTTATTTGAATCAGAATTTTTACTACATCTGTACGATATTCTACAATTTCTGTGAAGATTATATTTTGATATTTCCTGTGCAACATTTATTATTGGCGTCATTGCTCCTTGCAGGAATTTTTTATCTGCATATAGTGACATTGCATATCTTACCCCCCGGAATTCATCGTAGAATCAGAACTGGTTATTAAATTATGAAATAAAAATACGTCTGACGTCTTTTTAATGAAAACGTATGGCACACCATTTGATCCTGCATTTACATTTGTTTTGCACTATTACCCCTATTCACTTTGAAACTTGCGAATTGGAAACTTTTAGAAAACATTAAGAAAAGCTTTTCCAAACGAAGCTGGTGTAAGTAATAATTGTCCAAACTATGCACACAATCGGTAGCACAGTATACCACATATACCATCCCCGATTATGAGAAGATTTCAGTCGTAGGTAGAGCAGAGAAGATTCATCCGTCGAATCCGTGGGGATCCGAATACTGTTTGCTCGGATCTCGATCTTTTGGGCCTCAACCCATTTTACAAGTAATCGGTTGAACACCGGATCATAAACGTGAAACCGTTATCCGTATAAGCAAAACATAATTTTATCATGATATATATCATACAACACGTAAGCTGCAATTGTTGGTTGAGAAATAATATAGCTCTGAATTGATATATTTTCAGCTGAGTGTCCAAGAACGGGATGGAGAAAACAGTGAAAACGATGCCTCCAACGACCAAAGTAGCCACGCGTCTGACTTGTCTCTAGGTACGTATACGTATGTATATTTTTTTTCCTCCAGCAAATCCCGTTTATACATTCAAGTGCAGAGTCTCAACTCGAATTACCGACACTGAACTTCCATCGGACAAAAACTCGGCAAACAAGTGCTCCCTTTTTTCTTTTCTATTATAATCGTTAGCCCTTTCTCTACAGAAATGATTAAAAAAAAAAAAAAAAAGAAAGAAAGAGAAGCATTTTCCATTAATCTCAAAGCACGAAAGTATCACCTATCTCGTCTCGTTCATCTTTTTTTCGTCCCAACGAGCGTACATAACTTCCGTAACGAGGCGCTACCAGTAATGAGACTCGCGACTTGATTTCCCTCGGCTTTGAACAGCAATCGGCGTCTTGTTTGCTTTCCCCCCCCCTACTTCTGCTTTCCTCCCTCGTTCTAACGACCCCACCAGTGTTTCCATCTATTTTTCATCCTCCTCTCTGTTTACCTCCATGGCTTACAATTTGCGCGACTGTTGGTATTATCCGGGGAAAAACCAAAACAAATGTAGTCAACACGAGCTGGGCAATGGAAGCGTTTTGTTAAACATTTTTCGCGACCCCGAGCTTAATTGAGATTGCGTGGCTGCAATTATTACTGTCCCTCCCCCCCCCCGGCACTTGGGAATCTTGTCCTGCAAATGGAAATCCATTGTTACCTGCTCGCAGCAATCCACGATTACAAAGGATTTACTTTTTCACGTATTAAAAATTTAAATTTTACTCGGAACTTCCGTATAGACACGTAAATTTTTAAATTAATCCCTCCACGGATAAAAAAAACGTCAAGTTTGGACTCAAGAGTTGGTTTTTTTGTCTTTCGCAGATTCGAGCAAGCCTCCATGCGAGGCCAGCCATCCTCCAGTTGCCGACCAGTACGCGTATGCCAGAGAAAATGAGGAGCCAGGAGAAAGGTAGGAAACATTCATTTCGGGGTATGACAGGTGCTATCGCATTGCGGATTTAACGGCCCCGAAATTCGTGCAGTGGCCAGCTCAATATTAGCAGCGCTCGAATTGCCGCGATTCGGTTGCACAGTGTTATATCATATATTTTATCGCATCCGGTCAACGCGATAGAAATGGTTCGCATTAGCAAAGAGACGAGCTGATATCGTTCGAGGCTGTGGGACGATTCGAGTGTAAAGAAATCACGCGTGTGCCACGGTACCCTGTGTTTTTCCGAGTGAAAATCTGGTGGTGGGCGAGAGATCACTGGCTTGTCAAAAGAAAAGTTGTTGTGTTGCTCTGTCCACGCGCGAAGCGTAAATCAAGAGTCTCGGAGGAGAGACGGGGTCGGGGCGAGTTTTAAGACTCGACGTGAAATTGAAACGTCGGTTTTTCCAACGTGTACCCCAGGCTCTTCCGCTCCCGAAACTCGCGTCAAAACAAAAAGCGCTCCGTTTCTCGTTCCCCATATTAGTTCGTGCTCTGTAAACGCGAAACAGAGTACAATGCGAGTGGAGGAGCCGGAAGGCAAATTTTTTAAATTTCATGAACAAAGTCCCTGAAGCGCGATGTCATCCTTCCGAGCCACAGGAGCTCAAACCAGTGACCCCTTATCTGGAGAAAAAAAAAGGAGGTCGATTAGACATTTCCTTGAGCTCGAACGCGTTCTTTTTCCCAAAGTTTCAACAGCCCGCAACACTCCCCACGGATGACGGAGCTTTTTTCCACACCCCCACTGAAACTACCGCCTTTTCCCCTGTCCTCAAAAAGAGTAAAATTACTTCCAGGGTCGAAATTCCTCGTTTGCTCCTTCTTTCATATGTGGGAAGTTACGTTGCAGAGGAACGGGGGGGAAAAATTATTTCTCACGTGAGAGTAACGTGGACGTGATGCCCTTGGCGTCGCTTGGGGTGCCATATCACGTTTCGTTTCTGCTCTCGCGAGGGAATCCACTGTTTGGCCCTTCTGATCACCATGCATTTTAATCGTTGAATTTGAATGTTGAAAAAGTTTTCGGTTCAACGTATGCACTCGCATCTGTACGGCTCTCGGAGGACCGTGCAATGACAATCCAGTTATATTCAAAGCGCCAGAGAGCAGCAGGGGCGCACTGCCTACTTCTTAAATGGAAAACTTTTCCCGGGTGAACTAATAAGACCGTGTACTCCCACCTCCCCTCGCTTCCATCCTTTTGAAATGTAAATTGCTTATACGAATTAAAGCTCTCGAGCTTTTTCGAAGCCGGATGAGAAGTGCTCGGGGATACGTGGGTTTAATTAATTCTTCGCTCGGGTCTATTGAGTTTGCGAGTCATTTTCCATTAGTCGCTCGTTCGTATCGACGCCACAGACGATCAATATTAGGTACAAAGTATATTGACGGTAAGCTTTCATTGCTTCCAAATAAACAATTTTTCTTTTTCGAACTTTTTCGATAACACGATTCACTCCGAGGGTTTTTGGCTCGTACGTACGATTCTATAATGTTTGTGAATCGAAGATAATCAGAATGTTGTAATTTCAATTCTGTAAGGCAACAATTTTTTTTCATCATCAAAGTGTTGTCCAAATCGCTTGATCGACCAAACGAATCAAATTGCCGAGTGGATGCAATAAGTACCAATCGCACGGAGCAAAAAAAAAAAAAAAATCGAAAACAGTATCATCCGACGCCAAGCCTATTAAACCTTTTTCTCGCGTAGCTCCATAACCGACGATTGACCAACAGTACGTAAAGATTAGCCCAGCTCCGCCAGCGTGCCTTTTTTTACGGAGCTTTCGGACGAGTACCCTTAACCCCTCCATTACAGGCCATAAGCTTTACTTCCATGCAGAGCCACAGTGTTTACGCTCCAGAGACGCGCTAAACGAGAAAAACGCCAAAAAAACTTTTCCGGGGCTCCACGAGCTGCCTGGCGCGTTAAAAAGTTACGCCGGTGTCTCTCACTTTTTTTTTTACCACCACGACTCCCATGCCGACTCTGACGTTCACGGGGTGGTTCTCAAATAACTAAAAAAGTTAGCGCCCCGTTTCCTCGAGCTGTTATATACCTCGGGGGTCCGAAAGTGATATCGGGTATCCAGAAAATCTCGACTTACGAAACTAGTTGAAAGAAGTCCCTCGCCTCTGGCCCGGGTGTTTTAATTTGCTGCCCTCCCTCCCCCTGCTGCGGGAAAACTTTCAACTTTGAGAAATTAACCAACACCCCGCGACCCGGGGGCAGAGCTTATATACTTTCCTTTGCCACGACGCTCTCCAAATTGACTCAACCCCCCCGATTCTCGCGACTGGACTTTGCTCTCTTGGCACCTTGAGCTCTGGTGATCACGGATGCCTGCTCCCAGCCAATTTAACAGAATTGCAAGCCTCTGCCCGTAAATAACTCGAATTAATAGCGAGGGGGTCGGCAGTCGTCCGCAGGAAAAGGCGGAATCAATCGGCCTCTCGAACTTCCTTCGTTATCGATGGTTCCCTTGGGATGTTACCACGTGCCTTCTCTTGTACGAGAGGTATGCTCAAGGGGGGAAGGAAGTAATACCCTCTAAGGGCTAGCCATTAATTAGCTGGCGTTGTCTCGCGGTGATTGGCATTTTCGCGTGCGGTATCACTTTTCTCGTTACCATCTTTTGTCGACGCGCCTCGATGGCTCAGGCTGGCTTTGCTTTATTAATTAGACTGCTCCCTCGTCGAGTGACTCTTCACAAAGACATCGGCCGAGAAATGCATTGTTCTCCCCCCTAATGAGGTCGTTGAGTTGACAGTTTTTCGTCTGGGTGAATAAATGTAGAAGGCGTGTGGATCTTTTTTTTTTTTTTTTTTTTAAGCATTTAATTTTATTGTTTGTTCTGTTTCAGTGACACTTTCGTGGATCAACAGGTGGTGCATCGATTGGGCGACGTGAAACCTTTCAAAAACAGCCTGCCGGCTTTACATGGTAGCAGCTTTTGGAGCGGAGTGCGAAATACCATCAGACAGTCGGTAAATATTATTGTCTCTTTACGGTAGTGCTTGTACTATATATATGAGAAATCTCCGGGAAAAAGGTTCGAGTTTTAAGAAAACAGACCTTCGGTCGGTATTACGTCATAGTATACGTATAAAACCAATTTTTACTCTTGAGAAACTTTTTTTCTAGATAAACATTCGCTTAAATTGAGTCTTTCTAAAAAATATCTTGGTCTCGTATTTTTCCTTTTTGCGCACAAACAAAAATCAACGAAGGTATAAGCGAGTTCCAGTTGTGCGTGACATCATGAAAGTACTAGCACTTATATAAACTTGGTAACATCATACATTCCCACTCCCAAATTTTTACACCCGATGTAGTAGTCATAGAAAAATGCGATATTTGAACTTATAGCTCGTCTTTTTATCAACTTGAATTTTAACACTGAAAGGTTTATTATTATTAAACCACCCCAAACATAAGTTAAACAAAGCTTTCACTATTGCATAAACACACCCCATCCATGGCAAATCAAAAAACCTTGAAATATCTTTGCATCTTCAAAAATTGCACAAAATTGAAAGATTGAAAGCTGGATTTTATTATTCCTTAAACCTCGCTAACAAATGCATCTCTGGTGAGAATCTATAGAAAATATAACTTGCGTAACAACTGTGCTAAAAAGTAACCGTAAACGATGAAAACGGTAGAAATCATCTCGAAATGAAAAAAGACAGGGATGGAACTCTCTGGGACGTTTTAGCGAAGTGGCACGTGACACACGCGTGATGCGGGAGAAAAATTTTTTCGAAACACGTTTCGCTCCGAGTGTCTCGTATAAAGCCTGAAATTCTCGTTAAGTTGCCTCCGAACCGACATCCGCGACCGCCGCCATGCTTTTAGACGATTGGAATTCTCCGCTCAGGATCCAGACCTTACGTTGAAGAAGCTTTTTCACTCGACCGCGTAAAAAAAATACCCCGAGGAAAATGTAAGAAAAACCGTTTTTCGTGTAAATGTAATTTCATCGAATTACAATAATCGCAAACGTAACGTCAAGCAAAGTGGTGTTCAAAGATCGGCTGGCGGAGAAGAGCCATCGCGGTGATTGGAAAATTTCCAAAGTAAACCCCAGCGAAAGCTTTTCGATGATGGATTATGAAATATTGGCTGTCAATATTCCGTCATACTCCATAATGCGAGCACCAACGCTGAAGAAACCTTGGGATCCCAGAAAATTGAGAGGCAGCCGGCTCTTTTGAGCCGCGAATTGAATAGAAGATGCGGAGTGCACTGCACGTACGATTGGAAGCGAAAGATTTTTCTAAGCTCGCTGCGTATGAATTTTCTTGTTTGTAACAACAAAAAAAAAAAAAAAAAAAAAAAAAAAGAACGCGTTGCTCGAACTAGACTGAATGACGGTATACATTAGATGATGCGCAGTAAAGGGATGGTCCGTGCGGTACGAGCCAAGTAAGCCGCGAGTCGAGAATAATGCAGGATGCCGGCAGTGCAACTTGCGGCCGGGCGCAAAAGGCTCTTTGTCAGAGGAACGACGCGTTCTCATCCACTTTGATGGGGAGTCTTTCGGGTCTTTGTGTCACGTGATACGGGGAGGAAAAACGTTGTGCACCTTCCTCTGTAATTATTAAAAAAAAAAATTTAGATCGTTTTTTTTAAAGCTCTGTTACGTAAACGAAGGGTAAATTTAACTGTAGATGGAGGAAACAAAGTAATGAAGGCAGCGAAAAAAAATATTTCGTGGGTTTCAACTTTTCTTCCAAATTTGTCATCATGCATGTAATGAGCTCGATAACTTGTCCCAATTTTTTTCCTAATTGTTACTTCAATCCTGTGAGATCCGTTTTATTTCTTAAAAGATTTCAGGTGCTATTACAATTAGACACATTAAAAACGTAAAATAATTTAATTTTTGCATAAAACACTCGTTCCTAACTTTTTACCCATGAAAAATATAATTTTAAAAAGTAAAAAAATCATGGAGCTGTAAATCATAAATTTTTTTTAGCTATCGACAATATAATATCTGAAGCTATACTTGGTATACTACTATATAAGTAGTACTTCATCAACTTGTTTGTGTAAGAAACCCACGATTTCGTATGTAAGTAATTTGAAAAAAAAAAAAACTACAGATCTTCCTGAAAAGGGGCGCAAGCAAATGAAAAAAAGCAACGAACCTTGGAAAAGTACTTCAGAAAAGTCGCAAATCCGATTACACGAGCATCGATACCGACTGTCGCTCCCGTTCTCGGTGAAACCACCAACACCTCGGCAGAGGCTGTCGCCCAACTTTAGAGCGGGACCCGACCTTAGGTTCGAAACTACAAAGCCCTGCAATATTTAACATTCCTAATGCCACAGCACGTGAATTTTCCCCGCGATCGAGTGCAGCTGCGTTACCGCGTGCCAAACATTTATCGCTCGCTCGCTCGTACTTCGTTAACAAATTTAGAAAGTTTCCAGATGGCGGCATGGAAGCGGGGGACGAGTTAAGTATGGTCCGGGACAGGCAGTTGTTACGCGTCAGCTGAAATTTCAATACGCGTAAGAGCACTTTGATTACCTGCTCACTAGTACCTACTTATACCTGCGTCTGACGAAACGACTACCTCGACTACTAAGGAAGGTATCGCAGCGCTCCAGTTTTTCTATGCTCCCCAAATGTATACGCAACATTTTTTTCTCGTAAAAATCAATTTAAATTTGTATTCGTTAGAAATTCTTGATGTTTGTTTCTCTCGTGTATTTCTATCGGAGGGCCAGGCATGGCATAGCCACAAGGCCTCAAATAAAGTGCAATCAACACAGGCAGTTTAAAGATGAAAAACTTGCAAGCTGGATAGCGCACAGCGAGAAATTTGTTTACCCTTTTGAAAAATCCTCGAAAAATATCGCTGTGGTGCGAGCCGTGAAAAAAAGACGAGAAAACCGCGATCGATGAATTTTCGGGAAACGCCATTAGCCTACCAGCTCGACCAGACGGTGGCTTTTCTATCATGCAGTGATGGTCAGCGGCAAGCTCTTCCGGCGTGGCGTCCATTGATCCGACCTCTCCTCTTCCTCCTCTCCTTTTCTTCCCTTTTTCGTGTGTACATGCACCAACAGCACGCTATGTCGTTGGGACAATTGCTACCTTTCACCCTGTTTTTCTCGGGAAGAGGGTGAGCACAACGGATGATGCATATGAGTAACTTGGCGGATGGCGATTGAAGAAACGCTTTAAAAAACGATTGGGTGTTGCCCACTAGTGTGCTATTATATATGATATACCTGAATTGGGAGCTTCCATCGTTCTTTTTTTTTAATTTTAATGTCAGACTAATAGCAAGTGCAAGTGCAGAGATATAAGATTCCAGTGTCGGAAGAGATAGAGAGAAAGAAAAAAGCCACTCTGCTGTAAAGTAATTGTACAAAATGGTATTCGCTGTGCAGGCGCCAATGAGTACACGTCTCAAATCAAAGCGATGCTCGCGGCAGTTAGCAGCGCCGTCGTAAATATCGAGGCGAGAAAGAGGGTCCCTTGCTTAATTGAATCGTCTCTTTTTCCTCCCCCGCCTCTTCTCCGCCCTCTTTCTTACCTCGCCACTCGAGACTGTCGTCGGACCGCCCCCGTACCGTAGCTGCGACTCGTCTAATCCCGAGAGCTCGACGAGAGGGGCTCGAGAAGAAAATTGACGCGGGGAAAATGAAACGGCGCATTTAATAACCGAGCACCTTCTCCTCCCCCGCTTCCCGCGCGACCCACGGAATTTGGCCCTCAATTTTTTCGCTCCAAGTGCCGGACCGCGAGTAATTTAGATGGACTTGTAATTTCATGATTTCTCGGATCTTCAATCCTAAAAACGCAAATTCAGCAAAAGCAGATGCGTCGGAGAACATCGCTATAACACACTTTTTAATTAACGATCTGTCGCTCGAGGGAAAAATAATTTCCGTGGATGTAGAAAAAAAAAAAGGAAAAATAAAAAACGAAGCGAATGGAAGTACAGTATGGGCGATTTCAAGAGTAATTATACAAAAGGCTAAAGCCTAGTTCCTCGCTTTCCGTATCGATCCGACCTTGCGCTTCGTTCGAGCTTCCCCCTCCCCGTACGTGAGCACATCGATTTCGGCCCAAAGGCCACGTGGGCGAGCACCTCGACAAAAACCGGTCGCCAAGCTCCGACTCGTTTTCGGACCAACGAAACATCGGGTTTCCAATTGCCAATCGAATATCTTTTATTGCGCGTGAGGTATAATATACACAAGACGTGTCCAAAAATAGTTAGGACCGCAAACAATTTCGCGGATCGTCGTACGCGTATCCCTCGCAGTAATTGTTCGGCGACCAGATCGCCGATCTGTTCCGGTCCTTCGCCGGGGTGTGCTCGGCGTCCAGCCACGGCATCCAGTAGCCGCCAAAGTTCTCTGGAAAGCCAGCGGGGTCCGACAGGTCGTTGGTCTGGGGCGTTAAAACTGCCTGGTAGCCCTCGATGTACGCCCTCAGTATGACTACCGTCTGCCGAAAAATCGAGACCAATGAATGCTTGAGACCAGAAAAATCGACTCCATCCATCTCTTCAGGAAAATCCATTCTCTTTCGAAATCTATATTTTACTAAACAGATCGGCGAGCGCCATGCATCCGGTGATACGTACCTCGGGAAGTAGGTCAGACAGATCCTTCGTCTCGCACGGATCCGCGACAATGTCGAAGAGACAGTCCTCGTGACACTTTGAATCTGTCTTGCGCTCGCAACTGAGGGTCGCTCTAGTCCGAAGCTCGGCGATCTTTTCCCCCGTTGGGAACGAGCCATTTAACGATCTCCCGATCGCTCGTGCCGCTTCGGATGTCTCGACGCTCGTTACGTTGTAATCTTTCGGGGCGTAGTCTTTACCGCTGTTGCCGTAATACCCATAGTACCTCGACACCCCTATGGGAGACAAAACAACCACTTGACCGGCAAATTCGACTACCGATCGACTCGTCGCTCGTTATACCTCGGATGAACTTGTATCTTCCCATTATG